TTTCTAGTCGTGTCCTCTTTTGGAAGGCCAAACAAAGTATTTTCGCTTTCACAACTAAACACACAGCGTCACACACGGCGGGCTTGAATGAGCGGCGGCCAGCGGGCTTGCGGCAACCTTATGTGACGACCCCGGGCAGCACGGATCAGCTCTTGGCATGACGAAGCGGATATCGTCGTCTTTTGGAAGGCCAAACAAAGATGACCCCTTTAAATGACTCACTCAAGATGTACTTGTTTTATTGCTGGATGAATCAGCGTTCTTGAATGAATCTCTTGTATGATTCAAAGACATACATTTAAACAGCCCCTTTTCGCCACCTACTGGTGTAACAATGTAATCGATAAATCTTCATTTGAAGTGTCAAATTACTTTCAAAAGGTGATTTACTCTATTTTAATCACTACCATACACATCGTACACACAGTTTATATCTGAATAAACTTTTATCCCAGTACTTATGTGATTTGAATGTTTGTAACAGAAATAATGATAATGTGTGGCTGAAGAGACTGTGAAGCTGTTTCAGATGACAGCTGCTTTCTTTAGGTCAGCGGCAGCGCTAACGCAGATTTAAATGTTCAAATCACACTGGTGTGATCATACGCTGCATGCACGAACCATGTGATCACAACATTGATCGCACACATCAAAGGTTGAGGAATGAGGGGGGGGGGGGGGAGTAATTTATCGATGTGTTTTTGTAAGAAAAATATCCATATTTAAAACGTTATAAAATGTAATCTCTAGCTTCCGCTAACTGGTGTGCGTGCAGCACCATGTTGAGTACTTTTTCCATGATGGATTGACGCAGTTTATTGGACTATTGAATATCACCCTTTCACTGCCACTATAAAGCTCGGAAGAGCCAGGACATTTTTTTAAATCTAACTCCGATTGAATTCGTCTAAAAGAAGAAGTCATAGCCTACAAAACCTAGGATGGCTTGAGGGTGAGTGAATTATGGGGTAATTTTCATTTTTGGGTGAAATATCCCTTTAAATGCAGTGCTGTAACCACCACAGACATCATGTTTTCTCATCTCCCATTCCCTTTAAAAGCCAGTTGCGCTTGCACCATGCGGATTCGCTATTTACATGGCGGTTCTCCAGAGAGGAAACGAATCTGCTCGTGCGCGAGGTTAAAGCGCACGAGCAGACCATCTACAGGGCACAATAATAATCTCTTACATTGTAATCCTTTCATTTTTAATATTTGGCACGTTTGTGTGATACTGCGCGTCCCTGTGTGTGTAATAAGCAGAGTACGCACGTTGTGCACCTGATTATAGGCGCATATTACTAACTATAAAAAAAATTTAATAAAAAATATTGCACCATTGACTTTAGACCAGGTTTTAGTTGGTCAATGGCGCAATCATTTTCAGTTGCCTCAAAATAGCAACGCGCCAACAATGCGCCTGAACACACCTCGTTTTCAGAACAGATGGGCGCAAGTGCAATATATTCCTTCCACTATAATAAGTGAAGCCAAAACATTCTCAGGCCCTGTCCCAAATCGCACCCTAAACCCTCGCAGTCTTCCTCTGAGTCCACACTTTTGTGATGTAATGCCGCTTTGACTGTCGGGTAGAAGTTTGCTGCGGAGCTCACCTCAGTGCGGGCTCGGCAGAAGTGCGCATCGAGGGTGCATAGTGGCCGCAAAGGGGCTCGCGAGCACCATTCTGAAAGCTAAAATGAGGAATGGGACACCCTACGGTCTCGTGGACTTAACAGACACGCACACGTGGCGGCCATTATGTCTGCAAGACCGCAAGTGCACATGAAGTGTGCAATTTGGGACAGGGCCTCAGTATGGCCGCTCTCATCTTGCGAAAATGACGTAATTTGGAGCCCGAGTCTGCGCAGTAGATCGTGAGGTGGAGCCGCGGTATCAAAGTCCTGCCCAAACTCCTGCAGACCCAATTGCAAGATCACAGTCATGACACCACAACCCGTTTTTATCAAATAACTGATTAAAAGAAAACTTATTAGAAAAAATAACTCTTACATGACAGCATGATAAGAACTACCTAAAATGACGGACACCATATTTGGAAAAAAAAAATTTGAAGTGTAATTTGACTATTTAGTTTGTCTCACGTGCCATTAGATTACATGAGGAGGTTGGGGTTTATGACCTATACTGGGTCCAGCCACCTGGGGCAATCAGAATGCTCACACACATGTGCTCACACACAAATCAGAATGCTCACACACATGTGTCACACATCCTTAGGGGGCCCCAGTGTTCAGTGTGATGGTGCTGGATGTGTTACTGCCGACCCGTACTGCCTGAGGTCTTCCAGTCAGGAAGTCCAACAGCCAGTTGCACAGCGAAGTGTTGAGCCCCAGCTGGACCAGTTTGTGAATGAGCTGTTGAGGGATGATTGTGTTGAATGCTGAACTGAAGTCTATGAACAGCATTCTGACATATGAGTCTTTTTTGTCCAGATGTGTGAGTGCTGAGTGGAGGGTAGTGGCGATGGCGTCATCTGTCGAGCAGTTGGACCGATATGCAAACTGGAAGGGATCCAGGGAGGGGGGCAGACTTGATGTGGTGCATGACTAGCCGTTCAAAGCACTTCATGAGAATAGGGGTAAGTGCAACTGGACGGTAGTCATTGAAGCAGGATGGAGACGACTTCTTTGGGACTGGAATGATGGTGGTAGCTTTGAAGCTGGCGTGCGTGGAGTTTAGCTCTAAAAATGTGGTTCTACCGACATCGAGCAGAAACTCACGACTGTATGCGCGCTTAGAGACAGATAGACGCGACGAATACGTACAAAAACACTGCGACTCACAAGATAAAAAACACGAAAACACCGTTCTGTCGGGAGAGAGAGAAGCCGCAGTGTGTGCACGCGCCGCCATCTTGGATTCATCAACATATATATATATATGTTGTTTATATATATGTTATATAATATATATAACCCTAAAACCCTTTATTACCCTAAAAACATTTAAATCCTTTAATTAATTTAATGATTGAAAAATGATTCAAAACATGATTAGGCCTTTTTTAAATGGACTTGATTAATTTGTGCAATCGGTCACTAGATGGCTCTCATTAATTTATTTTCATACTAGTTTGACAATTTGAAGTGGAAATGTGACAAAAGGTTAGTTTAGGGAGATTTTGCTATCGCAGATCTGTCACAATCCACTAAGTGTTATATAAGAATGTTCTCTTGTAAGTATCTTCTGCTTTTGATGTCTTTGGAAATAATGATGGTTAACATTAGGCTAAATGTGATTTCTTTCCACAGTGATTGGGGGAAAAAAGCTGACTTTATTTCCTTAAAGGATTTTGCAATTATACCCAGGGTATTAAGTAGCCAAATGTTAGTGTAATCTATTAACTATGCAAAAAAAATAAAATAAAATAAAAACTCTTTTTTACATAAGTAGGCCTACCAGATATGGGTGTCATGTCATAAACAATTTTAATACGACTGACTTTGTCTTTTAATGTGAATTTAATAAATACATCGTAAGTTACTAATTATAACACTTTCATTCTACAGAAAGAGAGCAAAGATCATTTACATCAAAAGAACATTATCATTGACTTCAGTCTAGCCAGAGTTCAAGCACTCTCAGAAACTCCCATTATAATGAAGCTGTTTACACTTTGAAATGAATATCTTGCTTACATCGTACACACATCTGCACTTTGTTTTTATTCTGATGAGAGAATTCACCAGAGAGCAGAATTTAGTCGGTGAGCGCGCGCACTGAACAAAACACTGGTGCTTCAGCGATGACTCATCTGAACGTCTCTGATTAGCCACTGAATTCATAAGCTCAACAGAATCGTGTGTGATTGGTTATAATGCACAGCACTGCATAAACGCGTCTGTCTCTGGCTCAGCGCCAGCCATAGCGCGAGCACAGATTTGAATTTAGAATCTGGTGATGTGCCGAACTGAACATTCTAATAACAAATATCACAATATCAAATATATAAAAAAAATTATTATTTATTATATATAAATAATATCGGTTATTTTTTTTAATTTTGGAAGCTGCATTCAAAATCCACTTGGCTCAAAAATCTGAGGGGGCATGTGCCCTATGGAAGGCCAAAAGGGCCTTCTTAAACAGGAGATTGCTGGCTCTAATATTGTGCATTGTGTATTTTTTGGTCCCCCGGGGAAATCAGGAAATGGCCTGATATTAACTTAAAATGGGTGTTCTGATTGGTATATTTAAATTCTCTGCATATATGGTGCACTGTAAATGACTCTTTTTAATTTTTTACTCGAGTGCATATACTCAAGTAACACAGTACGCATTATGCAGTCTGCAGTATGGGATTGGCTGATGAACGGTCAGATGCAAAACAGGAAACCGTCCCACCCAGTCAAAGGCTGCCTTGGTCATTTGGCACTTCATCAGTGTATTGTTAGAGGAAGTGTTTTAGTGTTACTTGAGTATATGCACTCGAGTAAAAAAGTCAAAATAGTATTTTACAGTGTACCATAAATGCAGATAATTTAAATATTAAAAAGATATTCAATCGTAAATAAACTGAATTAGAAGAATAAAAAAAAACTCAAAATACATTTCAGTAAAAAAGCAAAATCTTGGTGTGTATTTGATCATGGTATAATCAGAGGCGTCATGCCCATTCAAACCGAGGGGGCACTATGGAAGGCCAAAAGGGCCAAAAACATGTGAATTTTAACACGTCAACAACACGTTAAATATGCGTATTTCACGTGTTAAATACATGTTGTTTGCGCATGAAAAATCAGTGTGTTAAATATACGTATTCAACATGTATATAACGTGTTAAATACGAGTGAAATATGCATTAAAAATTAGTTTGAACGGGTCAGTGTCATTGGCTGCTGAAGACGTGGGTCAAACCATTTCTGTGAGCTTAGGGGGGTGTACCATTCATAGACTAGGCTACCACCATTTACCATGCAATAGATCAGCTTATTTAGCCTATTTATTTTGTCCTTTTAGTCTTTGTTGTAAAGCCTATAGAAATAATATATTAAAATTGCAGTTTTATGAAAAATTAGATAAAAATAAAATTGCCTGATTTTTCGACACTCATTCCTTTTTGTAAACAAACACATTAGTGTTTAGCTTCAAAGTTAGCATCAAAGCATTGACATTTTCGTGGAGAAATCAGTTACAATGGGGGTAAGCAAAAATGGTTATACAGTTAAAATATAATTTTAGACCAGCTCCAATACACCTGATCCAGCTAATCAAACTCTTCAGGACAGTGGCCCTCCAGAAACTGAGTTTGACACCCCTGCCCTATAAAGTCACGAGAACAATAGACTGCACACACGTTGCAATCATTCACAGCTCTAAAACAACATGAGGCTGGTTTTGTGAATAGAAAGTCTGTTGTACTGTAGGTCTATTGTACATGTGAGCTTTTAGTGACATAAATTCTGATTTAAAATAGTAATGAATATGTTAACACACTGACCTACTGTACAATTCATCATGCAGATGATTTGTATGAATGTATGATCACAAGCTTGGATGTCAAGTGGCCTGGCTCAGTCAGAGTCTGTGTTCTGTCAGTGCTTGAGAAAGGTAAAGTAAGTGGGGAACTGAAAAAAATGAGTTAGCATTAATAGCGCAGTCTCATTTGAGTAAACTGCTGGTTAGGTTTAAAACCCGTCACAGGGGTGGTAGGTCAACAAAGCCAACACTGAGTAGTTGCAGGGGTTTGAATTATATTTTCTCTTGATCTGCTGCCAATAACACTGAGTTCTTGCAGGGGTTTGGTTAATAGCTTTAAGGTCAAAGTTGACAGAGAAAGTTCATGAGCTGCTTCATGGCATCAACAAAGCCTGATTGCATTGGTTTGGTTTTGTCAAATCAAAACTATTCCTGTAACCGAGTTTGTTCAGCTACCTTCATGGTATAGGTCATTGTGCAGATTGCAGTACAATTAGTCTTCTGTCCTAGCCTTTTAATACTTTCAGTAAGCCAATCAAGTCTGTCACATTGCTAAACCAACATATAAACTGTCACAAAAGCAGCCATAAATTTAATTCTAGCTGTTACGAAGTGTACAATAGGCTACTCAGTAACAATCCAGATTACTTGCATATACTGTATAAACTATATGTGTGTGGTTCTAAAAAACAGAGCTACTTAGTATTTTTATGTTTATTTGTTTACTTACATTTTATGAAGTACTTTAACAAATTACCTCATCATTTCACAGATAAATTGCTTTAATACCAATTTTCTGGGTAACCTTGGACTTTAGTACAGTAGAATACTTCTGCTGTCAGGAAAGCCAATCAAGCTCTTATACCTGTCCTGACCTGAGTACAAGCTCTCATTCTAATCCTGAAATTCTTATATAAAATCTTAAATACCATATTTAAATACTTTAAGTCTTTAAATACATTTAAATGGATAACATCACCTGTGTACCTAATTACTGTTTGTAAGATGAGGGCATAATCTCAAAACAAAAAGAGGTTTCGATAAGCGCCACCTGCTGGCGATAGCTATAAATGTAAGCACAATAAAAGCTCACGTTGTTTTCCGAAGACAGGTATTGATTACAATGGTCTGTATCTTAAATCTGTATTTTTTTGCTTACCTCCACTGTAACTGATGAAACATAATTACATTACATCTATATAATTTATATTTATATATACATTTATATTTATATTTATATAATAAATATTCAGTTTTGTATATTATAGTGAAATAGTGTTATTAAAATGTTAATGTTTAAATGTTTTTATTTAGAAATAATAACCATAATCATTATTAGTTATATTGATATATAAAAAAACATTTTTTGACCAAATTGTACAGCCCTACAAGTACAGAAAACCTGGTGTTTTTATAATTATTATTATTATTAATTTTTTGGCCTTTTAAAACTGCACATTTTAGAGTGGTCTTTTATTGTGGCCAGCCTAAGGCACCTTGATATGCCACACCTGTGAGGTGGATGGATTATCTCGGCAAAGGAGAAGTGCTCACTAACACAGATTTAGACAGATTTGTGAACAATATTTGAGAGAAATAGGCCTTTTGTGTACATAGAAAAAGTCTTAGATCTTTGAGTTCAGCTCATGAAAAATGGGGGCAAAAACAAAAGTGTTGCGTTTATAATTTTGTTCAGTGTAGTTACTGTGGCTACTATCTGCAAGGACATCATCAGTTTGTGGTTTCTATGGTTTTACTACAAAAATGGTTATACAGTTAAAATAATTTTAGAGATTTAGATCAAATTTGTGGGCTTTCCCTGATACTTGCATGAAATACTAGCATGCTTTTACATGCCTTTACTGTACAGCAAATGGAATGTATTGTGTTGCAGTTTATTTATTTATTTTCAGTACATACTTGTGTGTGGTGAACATCGTGCAGTGTGGTGGGCCTCACACTGTAGGCGTACATTCACAGTTTCATACGTTTATCTACTTTGTCCATCAAAGAAGGCTTTAATAAAATAGTTAAGAAAGATGACAAGTGACACTGCATTGACTCCCCTTTTAAATTGCTAATTTAACACTTTACACTTTTTTATATAAGCA